GCCACTGTGGCTAACTCGGAGAAGAATGGGAAACCCAGAACAATTGATTGTGCTTATGTGAAACCTATATTTGAGCCAGGTATTAGTTTCCAGAAAAGAGCAAAACACTACATAGATGGTTCAAATTCAGGAAAGGTATATGCCAGAGGTGCATCCTGTCTCCATACTTTTTCAATCTATATGCAGAATAGATAATCGGTGAGGCTGAGCTTTTTGAGGAGGAATGTGCCTTCAGGACTGGAGGAAGACTTATCAAAAATCAGCATTATGCAGATGACACAACCTGGCTTGCCAAAACTAAAGAAGACCTGAGACATTTGCTGCAGAAGGTCAAGGACAGCAGTCCTCAATATGAACTGAAGCTCAAAAAGAAAACAGAGATTCTCACCACAGGGCCAGGTGGCAACATCATGATAGATGAAGAGATTGTGATTCTTAACAGCTTCAGTTTGCTTGTCTCAACAATCATTATTATTGGTACCCACAGCCAGGAAATCAAGACAAATTGCATTTGAGAAAACCTGTTGTCAGGGACCTTGCCATAGTACTGAAGAACAATGATGTCATTCTAGAGACTAAGGTGTACCTGATCCAGGCCATGGTCTTCGCAGTCACTTACTAAACATCAGAGAGCTGGACAATGACTAAGGATGATAGAAGAAAAATCAATGTTTTTTATTTGTGGTGCTGGAGAAGAGTATTGTATATACCATGAGCTGCTAAAAGAACAAACAGCTTTATCCTAGAGAGAGTGAAACCAGGCTGGTTCTTGAAGGCAAGGATTTTGAAGGTCTGTCTCACATACTTTGGGCATGTTGCAAAAAGAGACCAGTCTTTGAAGAGGGCCATCATGCTTGGAAGGGTGGAGGGGCAGCGCAAGAGACAAAGACTATGGATGAGATGGATTGACTCAGTGACTGGGGTAATGGAACTAGGTGTGGCAGAGATTATGAAGTTAGCTCAGGATTGAGCAGAATTCAGAGCTATGTACATAGAGTCCCTATGAGTCGCAGGTTACTTGACGGTACATAACAACAACATGGGGGATTAGGAGGAGAACGTGAAAAGAGTGGATAAAAAATAAATGCTGCATTGGAGCACATGCGGGAAGAATTGACTGAAAGGAATATATCAATATGCATTATATGTATGACAACAATCTGGAACAAGGGTTACAAAAAGTGTCCTGGGGGAGAGGGGAGGGAAGGGGAAGAAGAAATGCATGCAAAACTGAATGAATGAAAATCCAACCTTTCTGTAAATTTTAGTTAAGATCACAAAAAGGGGTTTTTTTTAAAAAAAAAAAAGAGAGAGAGATGAAACCTCAAACTCACATTACCTTAAAAAAGCAAACATTGACAGCTGAGAGCTGGCTGTACTGTAGCAGTCTTCACATAAGCCAGGTCTCTAAGCATCAAGATAAGCCTAGACACTCCTGCTGTCAGCCCCCTTCTTTTACATCCTAATCCCTGGCTTTGGATGAACTGAGATGCTGCTTTTTTAGGGTCACATTAAAGTTGAACTTCAGGATTCTTGCTTTGAAGTTGCCATTTGTGTTTTGTTTTCGGTTGTCTATTTAAAAATCTTATAAAACTGTCTGTGCAGACATAACTTCCTGTGGCAAAGATACTTTTATCTTTGAAAATCCCAATTTAATCATCCAGTCATTGAAATGAACTTGATTCTTTTTAGAATGTATGAAACATGGAAGAAAATTCACTCTGTTCACTGGCATGCTGGACAGAGGCACCCTGAGGCTGGCTTCAAATGCTGGTACACTGTGATGAATAAGATAATTAGAATTAAACAGCCTTCTGGCTCTTACCCTACTAGAATTAATTTTGTGTTCATTTTGTAGCTTAAAAGTGTTAATCACAGACCTAGATAAGCATGCTAATTTCCCCTTTTCTTGTCTATATGGGTTTGAGAGCAGAACAGCTTCACCTATAATATGTCTAGATGGTGATTTTTCACTATCCAGAATAAGGTTGTTGATAGCTGAATAATACCCTCCTTTTGTGCTTTTGAACAAGATGGAAAACATTCTTTATTCACCCGATTTCTTTTGCTTTGTCTTACAGAAATTTTTTGATCTGGAAAGAGAGAATACTTGTGCTACAAAAGAACAAAAGAATAACACATTTCCTAAACTAAATAGAAACAAGTATATGGTGACGGATGGAGCAGCTTATATTGGTAGGTAGCTTTCCTTTTTTTTCTCTCTCTCTTTCTTTTGAATTAATATTTTTAGCATTAATATACACTGTGTTTCATACATTGTGTTTTATACAATATTTCATTTATGTTATATTTAATTCATGTATATTGTGAGGGTTTTTCCTCTTACAATCACCTTATTATTAACTACATTTGTGAAAAGCAGTCCTTCATATTTTATGCCTTAATATTCCCCTTTTAGATAACCAATTTCTGATTTGCCCATCCCTATCAAACCAGTACTCTGAGGGAACAAGCATGTCCCTTTTGCTGAAGAATTCTCTTTTTAACTTGGCAACTTTGAATATCTGCATCCACAAGAAAAATTCAGTCTAGAACAAACCATCAGTTTTCAGCAATCAACATTAGCTCACAGCATGGAGCATATTCTCTTCTTCTGGTTCGTTTCTGGTCAACACCTCCCCAGTTATCTGTGGCTAGGTTTAAAAGGACATCAGCTATAAGCTCAGAAGTCCACACTTCTCCCTGCATTCCAGACCAGCGGGTCCCTTCACTCAGCTGTAGCCTCCACATGGGGCCAAGTCAACAGGTTAGTGGTCCTCATGACTCCCTGCTGCTCCTCAAGCCAACCACCTTCAGCCACACATCAGTATATAGCAGATGGGCAGTGCTGAAGGAACACATCCAAACTCAGCCTGTTTCTCTATTGTTGTATTCCTCTCACTTTCACTTTTGTGGATCCAGATGATTGCTGTGCATGATCATATTCTAACCTCAAGTCCTGGAAGTGGGATCTGATGGGGTTTATGTAAGGGTTCTTGGGATTATTCCATTTGTTGTTGTTGTTAGGTTCCATTGAATCAAGTACAACCCATAGTGACCCTATGAACAACAAATCTGAGCCCTGTTCTCTCCTGTGCCATCCTCTTACTTCCTGACACCTTTGTGCCCATTGTGGCACCTGGCTGAAAGTATTCCTCTCTTTCACCAACCCTCCACTTATCTAAGCATAATGTCCCTCACTAAGGGCTAACCTCTCTTAGCAATATACCCAAAGTATGTGAGATGATGCTCTCAGGCTCTATCTTTCCTCTATGGAGCACCCTTGCTGCACTTTCTCCAAGACATATTTGTTTGTTCTTTTAGCAGTCCATGGAATATTCAGTACTCTTCTGCAACACCATAGCTCAAAGGCATCAATCAGTTCTTCTTTCATCCTTATTTATTGTCTACCTCTCAGATGCATAGCAAGTGACTGAAAAGACCATGGTGTGAATCAGATGTACCTTAGTCTGCAAACTGACATAAATAATTTGGAGAGGTCCCTGACTGCAGACTTTCCAAGTGCAATACATCTCCTGGCTTCCTGACTGTTGGTAGCAATGGCGTTGATTGTGGATCCAAGTAAGATGGAGTCATTGACATGTCCAGTCATTTCTCCATATAGCATGATAACTATTGTTCAGTTTGGTGGTGACCAGATTATTCTCTCCAATATTCCTTGGAATATAAGAATAAGGAAGAAATACTTGAGACTCACCACTGAACTGGCTGATGAGACCCTGAGGTCAGAAAACAAGGGATAGGAGCAGAGAGGTCTTCCACTAAACATTCCCCATGTTGCCTGATTTCTGCGCTTGGGTTTAATCTAAGATGTAGATGAATAAATATTTTGTAGAAAAGTTCTGGTATTTTGTCTCATATTATAGATGAGGAATTGAATGACTCATTCATTATGAGTCTTTACTGAAGAACTAACACAGATCTCATTAACTTGTCTCTCAGTCCTTACTTGCAGTATTTCAGTGACATTCCTACCGTGGCCTTGACAGTAACCCAACATCTAATTCCAGGTAATATAGTTAACTGTCTAAACCTTAACTCTCTCATCTGCAAAATAACACTAATGGGCTAAGATGTGCCTGATTCAGGCCGTGGTCTTCTCAGTTACCTACTATTCATCGGAGAGCTGTACAGTGACTCAGGATGACAGGAAGAATTGATACTTATTGCGTTGTGGTGTCGGAGAAGAATACTGAACATACCATGGACTGTTAGGAGAATAAACAGTTCTGTTCCTGGAGAGGGTGAAACCAGGCTGCTCTTTGGAGGCAAGGATTTTGAAGCTGCATCTCACATAATATGGGCAAAATGGCCAGGAGGTACCAATCCTTGGAGAAGGATATCATGCTCAGAAGGGTGGAGAGATAGCACAGGAGAGGAATATCCCAGAAGGGTTGAATTGACACAGTACCTGGGGTAATAGGAATAGATGTGTTAGAGACTATGAGATTGTCTTAGGACAGGGCAGGGTTCAGAGCTATTATACATAAGGTCGCTATGAGACATAGACAATTGGATGGCATGCAACAGCAAACCTTAGCTCTCTCACTCTCTCATCTTTAAAATAGTGCTAATAATACTTGATAAATGAACAAAGGAAAAATATGTCTTTGAGAGAGTGCAGGCAGGATGCTTAGAGGGAAGGATGGTGACATGTCATCTCACATTCTTTGGCTGTATTCTTAGGAGGAGCCAGTCCTTAGAGAAAGACATCATATTTGGAACAGTGGAAGATCAACAAAGGAGGGGAAGACATTCACTGAGATGGATGGACCCAGTGACCATAACAAAGGGCTTGAGTGTGACAGAGATGATGACGACAGAATAGGGCAAGGCTCCAATGTGTCGATATGAGTCTTATAGAGGACAACCGAAAAACAAAAATAAAATCTTTACAAGAAGAAACTGCCTATATTTTTCCCAAGAAGCAACTGGTGGATTTGAGATTTCAACTTTTCTGTTAGCAGTCATAGCAAGCACTTAATAAATGATAATTGCTGTATCTTTGACATCTCTTACATACCAATCTTACCCCTACATGCTCCCCATTATGCTTCTGTAGCCTAGTCATAATCTGGTCTATACATACATAGTTATGTCTTGAGGCTGACCTTCTTTTTTTCCTAATAGAGAAATTTCTATGCATCTCATTATTAAACAAAATTCCACTTTTCTGATACATCTGTTCTTGTTATGTGCCTGAAACTCATAGAGACTCTATGTACAACAGCCCGAAACCCTGCTCTATACTGTGCCAGTCTCACTGTCTTCGACATATCTACCCCAATTATCCCAGTCACTGAATCAATCCTCCTCAGAGAGTCTTCCTTTCCTGCGCTGTCCCTCTGCCTTCCTGAACATAACATCCTTTTTCAAGGACTGATCCCTCCTTGGAACATGTCCAAAGTATGTCAGACAAAACTTCAGAATCGTTGCCTCCAAGGAACAGCCTGGTTTAACCCTCGCTAGGATGAACCTGTTCATTTTCTTAGCAGTCCATAGTAAACTCAATACTCTTCTCCAGCACCACTGCTCAAAGGCATCAATTCTCCTTCTATCCTCCCTAGTCATCGTTCAGTTCTCTGACGCAAAGCAAGTGATTACAAAGACCATGGCCTGTATCAGGCAAACCTTAGTCTCCAGACTGACACTATTGCTCCTCAGTACTTTTGAGAGGTCCCTAACAGCAGACATTCCCATCGCAATATGTCTTTTAATTTCCTGGCTGATGGTGTCAAGAGTGTTGATTGTGAAGCCAAGCAAATTAAAGCTGTGAACAATCTCTATCTCTTCACCATCCATCCTGATGCTGCCAATTGGCCCAGTGGTGAGAATATTTGTTTTCTTGATATTAACCTCAATACAATTGAAGGCTGCAGTCCCTGCCCTTCTGCAGCAAGCTCTTCAGGTCCTCCTCAATTTCAGCAAGCAGGGTTGTATCATCTGCCTAATGTAGATTGTTGATGAATTTTCCACCAATCCTGATGCCACACTCTCCTCATACAGCCCAGCCTCTCAGATAATCTGTTCTGCATACAGGTTGAAAAGGTATGGAGATAGGACACATCCCCAGCATACACTCTTCCCAATTTTGAACCATGCAGTGTTTCCTTGCTCTGTTCTGATGACTGCCCCTTCTAGCCAGTTGTAAATCCCTTCATTCTTGCCCCCATAGCATTACAATTGTTGTTTCCCTAACAGTCCTTAAAACAATGTATAGTTATTTTCACTCTTACATTCTGACCCCCTAATATCATCACTCACTTGTCATTTTGTCATACTGTCGTGGCTTTCATGTTGCTGTGAAACTGGAATCTATACCATCATGGGTAAGATTAACTGTGGTGTTCAAAGATACCAGGAAACAGGAATATTCATCCACCCCTAAAATGTCAGGCTCTTGAAAACATCTACAAAGAGTAGTGGAACACTGTCTGATATGAGGGGCAAAAATGAGCACTTAAGATATTATCAGAAAAGAGCTGTCTCCCCAAAGTAGAGTCTGCCTTGATGGTGTTGAAAAAAATTTCAAGCCATAAAGAACCTGCATTTGTTAATGTGGCATGACTTGAAATAAGGAGAACCAACTACAAACTCCTATTAATAATTGGAACATGGATTGTACCAAGTGTCCATTTGGGAAAATTAGAAATTGTCAAAAATTAAATGGAGCATGTAAAGATTGATACCCTAGGCATTAGTAAATGGAAATGGATTGGCATTGGACATTGTGAATCAGACAGTCGTATTACCATGGAAGTATTGACAAATTGAGGAGAATTAGTGTCACATTCATGGGTAAAAACACGTTTAATGGTCTTTCCTCCATATTTCCTTTCAAGGAGGGAGGTCCATCCCTTTGAAATGTAATTTTCTAACATATCTTTACTTTTTTTTATCTTTAAAAAAAACAAAACACAAACCCACATTTAATGATTCATCCTATAAACTATGTTACACTCACACATGGGATATTATGTATTACTGAAAAAATGATCAAGAATTTGTGCACAAGGATAAATATTGTATAAAACAATTATTATAGAATGAGTATAAGGACCCAGGAGGGCTGGGAGGGGTTTGAAGCAGAGGGATGTGGATGTGCAGGGGGAAGGGGAATTAATCTTTGGGTTGTACAATTTGATGGGGGCAGAGTGAGGAAAATTGAGAGTTTG